GCGCGCTATGTAAGTCATCTCGCCGCTATATAAGTCATCTCGCCGCTATGTAAGTCATCTCGCGCGCTATATAAGTCATCTTGCACGATATATAAATCATGTCGCCGCTATGTAAGTCATCTCGCCGCTATGTAAGTCATCTCACACGTTATATAAGTTATCTCGCACATTATATAAGTCATCTCGGGTTCTGCAGGGTACTGCAGGGTTCTGTAGTCCAGAGGGTGGACATCCTGATCTTAGCTTTGCTGACACAGTGATTATTTCTGGTTAACAGTTGGTAATTCTGCTGCGCTGTGTGTTGGGTAATTAACAGAGTACCAGTCTGAAATGTTAAAGTACGTTAGTGCATTTCGGTAGTGACAGGTCAGGAGCTGATACTGGTTCAGTGACAGTTCTCCACACCCGTGCCCAGTTGGTACTAGTTTTCTGTGGCTGATGAAGACAAGATATGACCTCACTCCTGTCCTTCACATACTGTGTCTGCAGATGCACCAGACGAGGATTCAGCAGCAGCAGATGGTTCAGCTGCAGCTCCAGCAGCAGCAGCAGGCTCAGGCTCATGCCCAGGCTCAAGCTCAGGCTCAGGCCCAAGCCCAGGCCCAGGCTCAGGCCCAGGCTCAGGCCCAGTCCATCCAGCACATGGTTCAACAGCAGCAGCAGCAGCAGCAGGTTCAGGCCCAGACTCAGCCTCAGCCAGGTCAGATGCCTCCACACTCTCAGCAGCAGCAGCAGCCCGGCATGGTGCCTCAGTCTCTGGCCGGACCAATGACGTCGGCTCAGCATGTTCCCATCAACTCGCTCAGTCAGCAGCAACAGCAGCACCAGCTCAAGATCCAGGCCTTCCAGGTGAGACTGTTCAGGTGGCGTCGGTTCTCTGTGTATCTACAGTCTGTAAGAATCCTGTCTGAAACACCTGCAGCGATTAAGGAAATCTACATGAGTTACTGTGCAACCTTTTTATTTTGCTTCTTAAAACCCAAATCTGTTGACTTCAGAGGTGAACTGGGAACCACTGAATAATGTTCGAACACTACTGCGTCTTCATCAGAGTTAAAATGGACAAACACAAACACATGTATCATTGGGTAGTAGGTTAAACAAGATTTTAAACTGTACGATGGATCCAAGTGTCAGTCCCATCATACTCTATAATCACATTGTACTTAACTGGTAAAGAACTGCTCCATCCGGTTCAGCTGTTGTTTCTGGGCGTCTCTCACTCAGGTGTTCTGTCCAAGTCATCTTGTATCCTGAGTGTCTTCACTCACCCTCACCCGATATATTGTCAGTGGCAGTTATGCCCTCCTCTTCGTCACGTGCCTGATTCTGTAGTTAAATTCTGCCCCTGCCTCTCGCTGTTGCCTTGGACATTACTCTTAGGTTGTGAGCTCTTCGTCCTCATCTCATTCTTGCATATCGTCACACATCTGCAGACCTGGGGTAAAATCCTGTTACGTAAGTGTCCATCATGGGTGGTTACAGTGATGGTCTGTCCTGAGGGTTTATCATCCTTGATCTGTCTTGTAATATATCTTTACATAGCGATTAATGACAGGTTCCTCTTTATGAAAGATCTGTGAGTCAGTGGAGTTGCTCTCTGCTTCTTTTCCTCCCTCAAGGCACCTCCCACCAAACTGAACCTTAGTTAATTGGTTTCTGCAGATTTTTAAATGGACACCCCACTTCCTTGATGTTTCATCGCTGGATGGTAGAACCAGCGTCCTGGTGCTAACCCCGCCGTCCAGCCACTCAACACTGACACTGTCTTTAAACCACAGGAGAAGCAGTTATTTAATATTTTCTATTAAAGGACAGGTTCAGTATTTTTGTCCTGAAACAGTAGTCAGGTGCTTCCTGCAGTCAGCAGTGATTCTGTGTAAAAGTACACTCTATCTTAAGTTAATAGCCTCTTTCACATCGCCTGTTCAAGGAAGGAATGCCACGCTATCTTCCTCCTCGCCGTTCCTTATAACAGGTATGATAGCTGAATGAGGGGACAGAGGGTTTCTCACCTTTAAGATGATAGCAGAGGAAGGAACAGCACAATCGATGTCTGTGTGAAAGGGACAGCTGGCAGGATGGTGTGTGTGTGAAGGTTTGACAACATGTTATGTGTACAACCCGCAGCGGGCAATTTTAAAAGTAGCAAATCTGCAGCTCAGACAGCGTAGAGTTCAGTATTCCTGCTTACCTCACCTCTGCTTGCATGCTTTGCCTTGTGTGTGTGTGTGTGTGTGTGTGTGTGTGTGTGTATGTGTGTGTGTGTAAGCAGGCCCGTGCAGCCTTGCAGCAGCAGCAGCAGCAGGTCCAGCAGGCGCAGCAAGCAGCCCAGCAAGCTGCAGCTCAGGCGCAGCTCAACGCAGCTGCTGCAGCCGCCGCCGCCGTACCTGGACAGGTGAGACTGCAGCCACCTCAAGCTCAGGTGCTTCATGTGTAGTAAATGTGAATGAAGTCACATGACGCAAGCAAACATTGTGTTCCAGGGTTCCCATTGTCATGGAAAACCTGGAAAAGTCCTGGAAATAGTGAAAATAATTAAAAGTTTTGGGAAAGTCCTGGAATTAGTTGTTTGTAATGACATCGTTACAGTAATCGTCTGTGGATAATCTTCCACATAATGTAACATAACGGCCAGTTTATTTTCTGTGGCTGGCGACATAGCGTAGCTCAAACATGCGTCAATGCGTGACAGCGTTTAGTTCACCATCAAATACGTTCCGGCATTTTCTACCTGTGTTTAGTCTCTCTCTCCATGTATGCCACAGCTGAAATTATCTTTAAATATAATTTGAATCTGTTTGAGAAACACTGCTCAATAGGGCTGCAACGATTAGTATTAAAATAATCGGTGACTAATTAAGTAGTCAACTAATCGGTTTGAGTCATTCTTCATATAAAAATACTATAAAGTACCCAAAATACTCTTATTGCAGCTTCTTACGTTCAAATATTGACAGCTTTACACACTCCCATGACGGTGAACTAAAACATGAGTGGTGTGAGTACGAAACAAGACATTAGATGACATAATTTTGGGGTTTGGGAGAGACAGACCGACGTGTTTCAACATTTTACACATTTTTCGATAAAACGATTCGTCGACTAAGAAGAAATAATTAGCAGATTAGTCGACAATGAAAATAATCGTTAGTTGCAGCCCTACTGCTCAAGTGTGGCAAGAAAAAAATTATTAAAGTCGTAGAAAACTTTTGAAATGTGTGAGAACCCTGAATGTTGACTGGGACTCTTTTGGTTTGACCTCTTAAACACGACTGATCCACCAGGAGGCTTTAAACTTAAAGGAATTAAAATTTTTGTTTGGAACCAGCAGTAACCCTTCAGACACGGTACCTAGACCCTCGGCCTGTTCAGACAGTCCTCTTAAATGTGGGCGGGGTTGTCCACAGATCTTATTTCACACATGTACCCAAAAACACATTATAAAAAAAACATTGACTTCAAGACGAGGGAACAGGAAGTGCTAAAATGCTAAGTCACTTCTGGGTTTTAGGACTCATTCCAGTGGCGCTGTAATGACTTCAGTTAACTGTATGAAAGGCTGTCTGACGTTAATTTGAAGCGCTGAAATTATTCCAAAAATAGTGTACAGTTAAACGGATTAATTAACTAATAACTTAATAAATTGTTTTTTAAAGGGCCTTTTTCAGGTGGCTAAAAACAAACTAACTAAGGCAATGTTTGCTCAGCACCGTTTTATTTTATGTTTGTGGCACAAGATTTTCTACTCTGAAGTTGCTGTAAATAAACACTGTGATTCACTCTGTAGAATTGAATGGAATTGAGAGACTTGAGAGAGATTCTGAAGGAAGCAGCAGCAGCATCATGAGCTCCTGAAGATGTTCACCTATCTGTTATAAATGAGATAAACTTTTACTTCTGACAAAATAAGAAAAAACAACAGTTGATTGAAGGAATTACCCCCCTGGAAGAAAGTAGAGCATCAGGAATCTTGAAATAAATAATAATGTTCAACTGAAAAGCCAACAGAAAATCTAACCAACTGCCAAACTGACCGTTAACTGTCCTGCTCGCTGAGCGACTCCAGACTAAGCAGAGGAATATAGCTAAAGACTCAAAGGAGTGAGTACATCAGAGATATGATATAACCTTAGAAACGATTTAGAAAAAGTTAACTACAATACCTGCTGAATACCAAATAAGCTAAAGCTAGCTTTGAGAACAAAAACAGCTAGCTAAAAACAAGCTAAGCCCTAGCAACTGTTGCCACGGAGCAGCAGCAGAGTTCTGTGGCTTCAACCAGAGCCTGTACAGAGAGTTCATAAATTCAAAGTGCTGTTGGTCTGTTCCGTTTGGTTATTCACAGCAGCGTTTCTCTAGGAGAAGTCGAGCGTATGCTGGACACTGTTGTTTTTTCCTTGGCTGAGTAGTAGTTCTTCAGAATGGAGCCAAGTGAGGTAGAGTTTGAAATCTTAGACTAGTAGATGGCATGCTACTTATTACGCCACCGACAGTGGTTGAAATAGCATTAGTCAGCTAAAATTAACGAATAACTGTTTAAACAGTTAGCTAAAAGTGACTGCTACACAGTTGAAATAGCTTTAGTTAGCTAAAAGAAATAGCTAACTGTTGAAACAGGATAGCTAAAAGTAAC